CTGTATGTTGCCTGGTGACTAGTGGTAACCTGTATGTTGCCTGGTAACTAGTGGAGACCTGTATGTTACCTGGTGACTCGTAGTGACCTGTATGTTCCCTCCAGACTAGTGGCGACTTTGATATACCTTGGCGAGTCTTAGTGACATGTATGTTCACTGATGGTGACATGTATGTTTCCTGGAGGCTGATGTTGACATGTATGTTCCTTGGAGACTGATGGTGACATGTATGTTCCCTGGACACTGATGGTGACATGTATGTTTCCTGGAGACTGATGGTGACATGTATGTTCCTTGGAGACTGATGGTGACATGTATGTTCCATGGACACTGATGGTGACATGTATGTTTCCTGGAGACTGATGGTGACATGTATGTTCCTTGGAGACTGATGGTGACGTGTATTTTCCCTGGAGACTTATGGTGATATGTTTGTTCCCTGGAGACTGATGGTGACATGTCTGTTCCCTGGTGACTGATGGTGACATGTATTTTCCCTGGAGACTGATGGTGACATGTCTGTTCCCTGAAGACTGATGGTGACATGTATGTTTCGTGGAGACTGATGGTGACATGTATGTTCCCTGAAGACTGATGGTGACATGTATGTTCCGTGGAGACTGATGGTGACATGTATGTTCCCTGAAGACTGATGGTGACATGTATGTTCCCTGGAGACTGATGGTGACATGTATGTTCCCTGAAGACTGATGGTGACATGTATGTTCCCTGGAGACTGATAGTGACATGTATGTTCCCTGGAGACTGACGGTGACATGTCTGTTCCCTGGAGACTGATGGTGACATGAATGTTCCCTGGAGACTGATGGTGACATGTATGTTCCCTGGAGACTGATGGTGACGTGTTTATTCCCTGGAGACTGATGGTGGCATGTGTGCTCTCTGGAGACTGATGGTGACATGTATGCTCCCTGGAGATCAGTGGTAATATATATGTTCCCTCGAGACTGGAAGTGACAGGTATGCTTCTGGTGACTAGGGGTGACTTGTATGTTCTCTGGTGACTGTTGGTGACCTGTATGTTCCCTGGTGACCAGAAGTGAGTTGTATGTTCCCTTCAGACTAGCGATGACATTGATATTCCTTGGTGACTTGTAGTGACATGTATGTTCCCTGGAGACTGGTGGTGACACTTGTGTTCTTTGGAAACCTGAGATGACAAACTGGTCTTACATACTGGTCTTACATACTGGTCTTACATACTGGCCTTGCTCACTGGTCTTACATACTGGCCTTGCTCACTGGTCTTACATACTGGCCTTGCTCACTGGTCTTACATACTGGCCTTGCTCACTGGTCTTACATACTGGCCTTGCTCACTGGTCTTACGTATTGGTCTTGAAGAATGGTCTGGAGCTTTTCAAGGCTCCCAAATGTTTGTTCTCGTGCTGCTCTTCAACATTACTGAAGGTGGTGATGGTGGTAGTAGTGTCTACAACCACTGCTGGTGGTGATGGTGGTAGTGGTGTCCACAACCACTGCTGGTGGTGATGGTGGTAGTAGTGTCTACAACCACTGCTGGTGGTGATGGTGGTAGTAGTGTCTACAACCACTGCTGGTGGTGATGGTGGTAGTAGTGTCTACAGCCACTGCTGGTGGTGATGGTGGTAGTAGTGTCTACAGCCACTGCTGGTGGTGATGGTGGTAGTGGTGTCCACAACCACTGCTGGTGGTGATGGTGGTAGTGGTGTCCACAACCACTGCTGGTGGTGATGGTGGTAGTAGTGTCTACAGCCACTGCTGGTGGTGATGGTGGTAGTAGTGTCTACAACCACTGCTGGTGGTGATGGTGGTAGTGGTGTCCACAACCACTGCTGGTGGTGATGGTGGTAGTAGTGTCTACAACCACTGCTGGTGGTGATGGTGGTAGTGGTGTCCACAACCACTGCTGGTGGTGATGGTGGTAGTAGTGCTACAGCCACTGCTGGTGGTGATGGTGGTAGTAGTGTCTACAACCACTGCTGGTGGTGATGGTGGTAGTGGTGTCCACAACCACTGCTGGTGGTGATGGTGGTAGTAGTGTCTACAGCCACTGCTGGTGGTGATGGTGGTAGTAGTGTCTACAACCACTGCTGGTGGTGATGGTGGTAGTAGTGTCTACAACCACTGCTGGTGGTGATGGTGGTAGTAGTGTCTACAGCCACTGCTGGTGGTGATGGTGGTAGTAGTGTCTACAAACCACTGCTGGGTGATGGTGGTAGTAGTGTCTACAGCCACTGCTGGTGGTGATGGTGGTAGTAGTGTCTACAGCCACTGCTTGGTGGTGATGGTGGTAGTGGTGTCCACAACCACTGCTGGTGGTGATGGTGGTAGTAGTGTCTACAGCACATGCTGGTGGTGATGGTGGTAGTAGTGTCTACAACACTGCTGGTGGTGATGGTGGTAGTGGTGTCCACAACCACTGCTGGTGGTGGATGGTGGTAGTAGTGTCTACAGCCACTGCTGGTGGTGATGGTGGTAGTAGTGTCTACAACCACTGCTGGTGGTGATGGTGGTAGTGGTGTCCACAACCACTGCTGGTGGTGATGGTGGTAGTAGTGTCTACAACCACTGCTGGTGGTGATGGTGGTAGTGGTGTCCACAACCACTGCTGGTGGTGATGGTGGTAGTAGTGTCTACAACCACTGCTGGTGGTGATGGTGGTAGTGGTGTCCACCAACCACTGCTGGTGGTGATGGTGGTAGTAGTGTCTACAGCCACTGCTGGTGGTGATGGTGGTAGTAGTGTCTACAACCACTGCTGGTGGTGATGGTGGTAGTGGTGTCCACACCACTGCTGGTGGTGATGGTGGTAGTAGTGTCTACAACCCTGCTGGTGGTGATGGTGGTAGTAGTGTCTACAACCACTGCTGGTGGTGATGGTGGTAGTAGTGTCTACAGCCACTGCTGGTGGTGATGGTGGTAGTAGTGTCTACAACCATGCTGGTGGTGATGGGTTGGTAGTGTCTACAACCACTGCTGGTGGTGATGGTGGTAGTAGTGTCTACAGCCACTGCTGGTGGTGATGGTGGTAGTAGTGTCTACAACCACTGCTGGTGGTGATGTGGTAGTAGTGTCTACAACCACTGCTGGTGGTGATTGGTGGTAGTAGTGTCTACAGCCACTGCTGGTGGTGATGGTGGTAGTAGTGTCTACAACCACTGCTGTGTGGTGATGGTGGTAGTAGTGTCTACAGCCACTGCTGGTGGTGATGGTGGTAGTAGTGTCTACAGCCACTGCTGGTGGTGATGGTGGTAGTAGTGTCTACAGCCACTGCTGGTGGTGATGGTGGTAGTAGTGTCTACAGCCACTGCTGGTGGTGATGGTGGTAGTGGTGTCTACAGCCACTGCTGGTGGTGATTGTGGTAGTGGTGTCCACAACCACTGGTGGTGGTGATTGTGGTAGTGGTGTCCACAACCACTGGTGAAGGTGATGATGGTAATGGTGTCCACAACCACTGCTGGTGGTGATTGTGGTAGTGGTGTCCACAACCACTGGTGAAGGTGATGATGGTAGTGGTGTCCACAACCACTGCTGGTGGTGATTGTGGTAGTGGTGTCCACAACCACTGGTGAAGGTGATGATGGTAGTGGTGTCCACAGCCACTGGTGGTGGTGATGGTGGTAGTGGTGATGGTGGTAGTGGTGTCCACAACCACTGCTGGTGGTGATGGTGGTAGTGGTGTCCACAACCACCGCTGGTGGTGATGGTGGTAGTGGTGTCCACAACCACTGCTGGTGGTGATGGTGGTAGTGGTGTCCACAACCACTGCTGGTGGTGATGGTGGTAGTGGTGTCCACAGCCACTGCTGGTAGTGATGGTGGTAGTGGTGTCCACAACCACTGCTGGTGGTGATGGTGGTAGTGGTGTCCACAACCACTGCTGGTGGTGATGGTGGTAGTGGTGTCCACAACCACTGGTGAAGGTGATGATGGTAGTGGTGTCCACAGCCACTGGTGGTGGTGATGGTGGTAGTGGTGTCCACAACCACTGCTGGTGGTGATGGTGGTAGTGGTGTCCACAGCCACTGGTGATGGTAATGGTGGTAGTGGTGTCCACAACCACTGGTGGTGGTAATGGTGGTAGTGGTGTCCACAACCACTGGTGAAGGTGTTGGTGGTAGTGGTGTCCACAACCACTGGTGATGGTGGAAGTGGTGTTCACAATCACTGGTGGTGGTGATGGTGGCAGTGGTGTCAACAGCCACTGGTGGTGGTAATGGCAGTGGTGTCCACAATCACTGGTGGTGGTAATGGTGGTAGTGGTGTCCACAACCACTGGTGGTGGTGATGGTGGCAGTGGTGTCCACAATCACTGGTGGTGGTAATGGTGGCAGTGGTGTCCACAACCACTGGTGAAGGTGATGTTGGTAGTGGTATCCACAACCACTGCTGATGGTGGAAGTGGTGTCCACAATCACTGGTGGTGGTGATGGTGGCAGTGGTGTGAACAGCCACTGGTGGTAGTGATGGTGGCAGTGGTGTCAACAGCCACTGGTGGTGGTGATGGTGGTATTGGTGTTCACAACCACTGGTGGTGGTGATTGTGGTAGTGGTGTCCACAACCACTGGTGATGGTGGCAATGGTGTCCACAACCACTGGTGGTGGTGATGGTGGAAGTGGTGTCAACAGCCACTGGTGGTGGTGATGGTGGCAGTGGTGTCCACAACCACTTGTGGTGGTGATGGTGGTAGTGGCGTCTACAATCACTGGTGGTGGTGATGGCGATAGTGGTGTCCACAACCACTGGTGGTGGTAATGGTGGTAGTGGTGTCCACAACCACTGCTGGTGGTGATGGTGGTAGTGGTGTCCACAACCACTGGTGGTGGTGTTGGTGGTAGTGGTGTCCACAACCGCTGGTGTTGGTAATGGTGGTAGTGGTGTCCACAACCACTGGTGGTGGTGATGGTGGCAGTGGTGTTCACAACCACTGATTGTGGTGATGGTGGTAGTGGTGTCCACAACCACTGGTGATGGTGGCAGTGGTGTCCACAATCACTGGTGGTGGTAATGGTGGTAGTGGTGTCCACAACCACTGGTGGTGGTTATGGTGGTAGTGGTGTTCACAACCACTGATTGTGGTGATGGTGGTAGTGGTGTCCACAACCACTGGTGATGGTGGCAGTGGTGTCCACAATCACTGGTGGTGGTAATGGTGGTAGTGGTGTCCACAACCACTGGTGGTGGTTATGGTAGTAGTGGTGTTAACAACCACTGGTGATGGTGGCAGTAGTGTCCACAATCACTGGTGGTGGTGATGGTGGCAATGGTGTCCACAACCACTGGTGGTGGTGATGGTGGCCGTGGTGTCCAAAGCCACTGGTGGTGATGGTGGTAGTGGTGTTTACAGCCACTGGTTGTGGTGATGGTGGTAGTGGTGTCCACAGCCACTGGTGGTGGTGATAGTGGCAGTGGTGTCCACAACCACTGGTGATGGTGATAGTGGCAGTGTTGTCCACAACCGCTGGTGATGGTGATGCTGGCAGTGTTGTCCACAACCACTGGTGATAGTGAAATTGATGGAGCCTACACATTATTTTCTATATGATGGTGTAGACAGTCTCCACAGACGGGTGGTAATGTTTACGACGCCAGTTGGAAGTGATGTGTCCACACTATTGATAGTAGTTATCCACGACAGTTGTGTTTAGTAACCATAAATGTTGTTCGTTGTGGTAAGGGCGGTGACCAGTAGCAAGACTGACATATTGGAGGAAAAGTAGCCATGCTGCTGCACGAGTGACCATGGTTTTGCACTATTAGCACTAGTGCTGCTCTAGAAGAGGGTGGCTACTAGAGTGAGGGAAATAATAAGCAGGCAGACAGACACGTCGTACGATGAATGACCACCATGCTGCATCGCCTCCGGATGTTCTCCTGAAAATGCAAGACAACTCTAGAATCTAAAGCATTGAAACGGCAGATACACAACTCTGGTCACATTCAGAGGATGAAGTTATAAAGTGTACAAGGAACTAGATTCCCTTGCAATTGTAGTTGAGATGTGATTTGCCTGATACAAGCTCCTAGACAAGTGCATGCTAGTATTAAAAATGCTATTAAAAGAGTTATATAGGAAAATGAAGTTTGACACCAAAAATACATACTTGGGAAGCTATAACATGTTCGAAAAGTAAATGCTGCACCTACTTTCACGAAGTGTGATTACCGGCGGTCAGTTTGTGCAGTCTGAAACAACCAGCGTTGAAAACCATAACAGATAATTTGAAAAAGCCGGAAAAAGTTTAGTGACGATGTTTACAGCTGCAGTGAGAGCAAAACACTGAGCATAATGTGAGCCTTAAAAAAAGTCTTTCTGTTATATCCACTCTGAATCATAACTCTTGGTACAATAAGAAAATAAATAAAGTTTACATTCGTTTATGCTCTCATTTGAAGACGCATTGTTTAAATATAATTCATTGTATGTAAATAAAGTATTTAAATTCACATTTTGATTATTAAAGTATCTTGATACGAGCAATAAAAAGGTAAATAATAGTGTTGTCTGGGTAGTCTCAGTAGCAGATGTAGCGAGTAGTCTGTATAGTCAGTCAGCAGCGAGTAGTTTGTATAGTCAGTCAGTAGCGAGTAGTTTGTATAGTCAGTCAGTAGCGAGTAGTCTGTATAGTCAGTCAGTAGCGAGTAGTCTGTATAGTCAGTCAGTAGCGAGTAGTCTGTATAGTCAGTCAGTAGCGAGTAGTCTGTATAGTCAGTCAGCAGCGAGTAGTCTGTAGAGTCAGTCAGTAGCGAGTAGTCTGTATAGTCAGTCAGTAGCGAGTAGTTTGTATAGTCAGTCAGTAGCGAGTAGTCTGTATAGTCAGTCAGTAGCGAGTAGTCTGTATAGTCAGTCAGTAGCGAGTAGTCTGTATAGTCAGTCAGCAGCGAGTAGTCTGTAGAGTCAGTCAGTAGCGAGTAGTTTGTATAGTCAGTCAGTAGCGAGTAGTCTGTATAGTCAGTCAGTAGCGAGTAGTTTGTATAGTCAGTCAGTAGCGAGTAGTCTGTATAGTCAGTCAGTAGCGAGTAGTCTGTATAGTCAGTCAGTAGCGAGTAGTCTGTATAGTCAGTCAGCAGCGAGTAGTTTGTATAGTCACTCAGTAGCGAGTAGTTTGTATAGTCAGTCAGCAGCGAGTAGTCTGTATAGTCAGTCAGTAGCGAGTAGTTTGTATAGTCAGTCAGCAGCGAGTAGTCTGTATAGTCAGTCAGTAGCGAGTAGTTTGTATAGTCAGTCAGCAGCGAGTAGTCTGTATAGTCAGTCAGTAGCGAGTAGTTTGTATAGTCAGTCAGCAGCGAGTAGTCTGCATAGTCAGTCAGCAGCGAGTAGTTTGTATAGTCAGTCAGCAGCGAGTAGTCTGTATAGTCAGTCAGCAGCGAGTAGTCTGTATAGTCAGTCAGAAGCGAGTAGTTTGTATAGTCAGTCAGCAGCGAGTAGTTTGTATAGTCAGTCAGCAGCGAGTAGTCTGTATAGTCAGTCAGCAGCGAGCAGTCTGTATAGTCAGTCAGCAGCGAGTAGTTTGTATAGTCAGTCAGCAGCGAGCAGTCTGTATAGTCAGTCAGCAGCGAGTTGTTTGTATAGTCAGTCAGCAGCGAGTAGTTTGTATAGTCAGTCAGCAGCGAGTTGTTTGTATAGTCAGTCAGCAGCGAGCAGTCTGTATAGTCAGTCAGCAGCGAGCAGTCTGTATAGTCAGTCAGCAACACTAATGTGAGGATAACCACAGGATACTGAGCTGCTATCACAGGGCAGCTGGCTGCTCTCAGGGAGCAGCTGCAGTCATGGTGCAGCTGCTATTATGGTGCAGCTGCAGTCATGGTGGAGCTGCTATCATCGCGTAGCTGCTGTCACTTGACAGCTGCTATCACAGTGTAGCTGCAGTCACGGTGCAGCTGCAGTCATGGAAGAGCTGTTATCATAGGACAGCTGCTATTATGGTAAAGCTGGTATCATGGGGTAGCTGGTATCATGGGGTAGCTGCTATCATGGGACAGTTGCTATTATGGGAAGGTTGTTATCATAAGAACATAAAAAAGAAGGAACACTGCAACAGGCCTACTGACCCATGCGGAGCAGGTCCATGTCCCCCACCCCGGATAGCCCAATGACCCACCCAGTCCTGGCCACCTCCACTCAAGGAAGGAGCACGGCACAAGACCTAGCAGCACAAGCTAGTCAGATCCTACTCACACCCACCCACACCCACTCATGTATTTATTTAACCTATTTTTAAAACTACACAACGTTTTAGCCTGAATAACTGTACTCGGAAGTTTATTCCACTCATCCACAACTCTATTACCAAACCAGAGCTTTCCTGTATCCTTCCTGAATCTGAATTTTTCCAACTTGAAACCATTGCTGCGAGTCCTGTCTTGGCTGGAAATTTTCAACACGCTATTTACATCCCCTTTATTTATTCCTGTTTTCCATTTTACACCTCGATCATATCTCCCCTAATTCTACGCCTTTCGAGAGTATACAGATTCAGGGCCCTTTAGTCTATCCTCATAGGAAAGATTTCTGATACATGGGATCATCTTTGTCATCCTCCTATGTATGTTTTCCAGAGCATTTATATCCATTCTGTAATACGGTGACCAGAACTGAGCAGCATAGACTAAATGAGGCCTAACCAAGGATATATAGAGTTGAAGAACAACCTGAGGACTTCTATTATTTATACTTCTAGATATGAAGCCAAGAATTCTGTTAGCTTTATTGCGAACACTAATGCACTGTTGTTTAGGTTTTAAATTACTGCTAACCAGAACTCCTAAATCCTTTTTCGCAATCAGTAGTATTAAGATCTACATTATTTAGTTTATATGTGGCATGGTTATTTAACTGTCCAACATTTAGAACTTTGCATTTGTCAATATTAAACTGCATCTGCCACTTCTCCGACCATTGCATCATCTATGTCGTTTATGTAAATTGTGAACAACAAAGGGCCCAACACTGACCCCTGAGGAACACCATTTGTGACGTGCCCCAATTCTGATTTCTCCCCATTTATGAAAACTCTCTGCTGTCTATTTGTCAGCCATGCCTATACCCAGGAAAAATTTTCTCCTCCTATTCTGTGTGCCTTAAGTTTCCTCAGTAGCCTCTGATGTGGAACTCTATCGAAAGCCTTACTGAAGTCCATATACACAATATCATATTCATTACCAAGATCTACCTCCTCAAACACCTTAGTGAAAATGTTAGTAAATTCGTAAGACAGGAACGCCCCTTTGCTAAACCGTGTTGAAATTCATTAATCAATCTGTACCTACAAAGATGGCTACGAATTGCTTCGGCAATTATTGATTCCATAAATTTTCCACTGTGGAGGTAAGACTTATTGGTCTATAGTTTGAAGCCAAGAACCTGTCACCTGCCTTGTAAATAGGTATATCATGGATACTGTTGCTATCGTGGTACAGCTGTTATAATGGGACAGCTGCTGTCATGGGGCACTTGCTATCATGGGACAGTTGCTATCATGTGACAGTTGCTATTATGGGAAGGTTGTTATTATGTGACAGTTGTTATTATGTTACAGCTGTTATCATGGGACAGTTGCTATCATGGGACAGTTGTTATTATGTGACAGTTGTTATTATGTTACAGCTGTTATCATGGACAGCTGCTATATGGGAACATCTATATAGGACGTTGCTATCATGGAACAGTTGCTATCTGGACAGTTGCTATCATGGACGCTCATGATGGGACACATGTATTATAGGACAGTGCTACATGGAACATCTCCTGGACAGTTGCTATCATGGGACAGCTGCTATGATGGGACACATGCTATTATAGGACAGTTGCTATCATGGAACAGTTGCTATCCTGGGACAGTTGCTATCATGGGACAGTTGCCATGATGGGACACATGCTATTATAGGACAGTTGCTATCCTGGGATAGTTGCTATCATGGGACAGCTGCTATCATGAGGGCAGCTGCTATCATGGGACAGCTGCTATCATGGGACAGTTGCTATCATGGGACAGTTGCTATCATGGGACAGTTGCTATCCTGGGACAGTTGCTATCATGGGACAGCTGCTATCATGAGACAGCTGCTATCATGGGACAGCTGCTATCATGGGACAGTTGCTATCATGGGACAGTTGCTATCATGGGACAGTTGCTATCATGGGACAGTTGCTATCATGGGACAGCTGCTATCATGAGACAGTGCTATCATGGGACATTGCTATTAAGACAGTTGCTATCATGGGACAGTTGCTATCATGGGACAGTTGCTATCATGGGACAGTTGCTATCATGGGACAGTTGCTATCATGGGACAGTTGCTATCATGGGACAGTTGCTATCATGGGACAGTTGCTATCATGGGACAGTTGCTATCATGGGACAGCTGCTATCATGGGACAGTTGCTATCATGGGACAGTTGCTATCATGGGACAGTTGCTATCATGGGACAGTTGCTATCATGGGACAGTTGCTATCATGGGACAGTTGCTATCATGGGACAGTTGCTATCATGGGACAGTTGTTATCATGGGACAGTTGCTATCATGGGACAGTTGCTATCATGGGACAGATGTTATCATGGAACAGTTGCTATCCTGGGACAGTTGCTATCATGGGACAGTTGTTATCATGGGGCAGTTGTTATCATGGAACAGTTGCTATCCTGGGACAGTTGCTATCATGGGACAGCTGCTATCATGAGACAGCTGCTATCATGGGACAGTTGCTATCCTGGGACAGTTGCTATCATGGGACAGCTGCTATCATGAGACAGCTGCTATCATGGGACAGTTGCCATGATGGGACACATGCTATTATAGGACAGTTGCTATCATGGGACAGTTGTTATCATGGAACAGTTGCTATCCTGGGACAGTTGCTATCATGGGACA